ATGACAAAATTACCTTTATCCTTCAACAAACATAATGGAAAAATAAATACTTAAGTAAACTAGAAATAAATAAACACCCCTTACATATTTGATGTAGATTTCCTGAGAATAAATTTTATGAAAATTGAATTTTTTGAAAAACGGAAAAAATTATGGATCCACTTACAAAATTATTTTATTGAGAGAATTTATATTTGAATATGAAATTTAAAGAATCTATACGGAAAAAAGGAGGCATAATTTTCTTAAACTCAAACTCAACAATTAGAATATAGATTATATGGGACAACTAACAACTCAGATTCCAGGATCTGGGTTATTCTCAAGCTTCCTTAATCACTTGCAAGCTACAAACAATTGCACGGTACTGAGAAAGAAAAATAAGTTAAAATCTTATTTATTACGAGACTCAGTACTGTGGATCAAACATGTACTTTGATGTCCCGCTACCTTTTCTTTATTCAAGCTCTCGGCTCAGGCCGCAGGCTGCTGTTGTGTGATACAGTGGATATTTCCGCCTCCCAAAGCAATCTCGCGTGCACCTTCAACTCTTACAATCTGAACAGAAATATCAAGAAAATGAGTTCAGGTGTTTCAGATAAAAGTACAGTATATATTTCACAGGCCAACGTCAAAAATTCAATACAAGTATCCCAGTAAAGGTTTTATCTCAATAGATTGAAAAAACATCAAGACATCAAGAAGTTTCGACTACAAAATATTTTACTCTACACGTGTTTTCAAATGTGATATTTCTTACCTCACGATCTGGAAAAGCCAAAGACAACGTGCGAATAGCTTCGTCGTCCCACTTTTGGTCCCCAAATTGAGGAGCAATAATTGCTCCATTGGCAAAATAGAAGTTTATATATGAAGCAGCAATCCTTGTACCAGGGAGCCTCGGTTTAGCCTCACCCTCCTGATATCAGCCAGAAAGGGAAATAAGACGAGAGAGAGAGAGAGAGAGAGAGAGAGGGGAAAGTGAGTTTCAAAAATAGTTCATATCTGCATACAATAACTTAGGGCCTGTTTGATTCCCATTAATTTAATTTATGGTTTGCTACAGGATCATTCAACCACACACATTCACACAATAAAATATTTCACACGTATAACAAAAACTTTTCCCTACTTGTTAACCACACATTATCCTAAAAATACTATCAAAACTCATACCTTGGCTAAGCTTTTAAGTGTGTATAAGCATTGGGTACCGAGAAATCTTTAGTTAAAAGGTAGGCAAAAATTGTAGATCCCAAGTAATGTGGTTATAAGGTAGGTAAAAATTGTGGGTCCTACAGAATGTATGAAGAAAAATAGAGTTCAATCAATAATAAGCATTTATAAGCTTTGCCAAACATGCACTTAACTTCTCTATGGTGTGTGCATATAGCTATCTCAGAGGACTAGACAGATTTCATAATGACAAGATTTTACAAGGTTCACAAGTCAACAACGCAAGAATTTTTCTATTTTCCCTCTTTCACTTGTCACTGAAGGGTGCTAAGAGATTTTGATCTATCCACCAATTAGATTTCACTTAATAGTTCCATTTTAAAAACAAAAAGCCATGTCACTTCTATTTTGAAGATGAAAACGATGCCATCGAAAGGCATAATCTGTGGACTAATCTTATCCCAAGGGCAAAAGGGTTTCACAATTTTAAATCATTATTTTGATGAAAGGCAAAAACAATGCTACAAGTATAGATCCATGGATATCACATGGGCCCTTAAGACCCTTCGATTACCTTCTTTTTGGAAGGTTTTGATGAGCAGCTTAAGGAGATTACAAGTAAGTCAAACATACTTCCAAGTAATTTGTTTGATTCTAAACATGATTGAACATTTTACATTTTTCTTAAAAGGGAAGAAAAAATATAAAAACTAAATAAATTCCATATTTTGACAATCTGATGGGATTTAATTGCAAACCAAGTATTTTATTTCTAACATTAACGAACAAGAAAAATAATCATTTAGTGCATGTGGCAAAGCTCAAATTATAATTTAAGATGGTCAAACATATTTTTTATCTACAGATTTCGTAGGATTCACAATTATTACCTAATTATTATGCGCCTTTTGTAGGATCCACTATCTATAAGTACTTGCAAACATGCTATAATTTATTTATAAGTAAATCTTTCAAGCTTAGTCAAACATGCACTAGCAATGGCAATCACCTGTTTCAATCCAGCAGCCTCCTCATCTCTCATATAAAGTGGACTGGGCACATGAAGTTTGATAATCTCTAGTTTTCTACCATTGGCATCTGTGGCAATGGAGAGAACCGAAAGTGCTTCGATAGAACGCTCATACTGTGGGTCTGACTCATCATCAGTCCAAGACAACAAAACCACACCAGGCCTTGCAAAACAACACATGTTGTCAATATGGCCATTAGTGTCATCATCGCCTGCAGAAGAACATGGGAACCTTTAAATGCCAAATTCAAGAGAAAATAAAAGTGAACAATATATAGGTGTTGTTAAAGCAAGAGCCTCAAGTTAACCAAGACGAGGGGGTCTGAAGAAAGAACCTTAAAAAATCATTTCTTCCCTTGCCTTGAATGGACTTGAGCCAGGTTAAAAAACGAAAGGCCAAAGAAGTCTACTGAATCACATGCATATATTCAGAATTCTTGCATTGCTGAATTTCAAAAATAACTAAGAAATACTGAGTCGAGCGTTTTCTTTAAACCATTCAAGTTTACATTCTAATCCTTTACAAAAAGTACCATTACATTTAAAATATTAATCATGTGCAAAACTGAACTGGTGAAAATTTTAAAATATTTGCTCTTGTGCAGTCTCGTATTGCTCTGACACTATAACAAATGGTGCGGAGTTTAAGAAGTGAATAACTATGTCTTCAAACTCATTTTCAATCTCTTTCACCAAAACAGTGGAGGAACTATTTAAATTCAAAATATTAATTGAAATGTTAGAGAGTAATTTTGTAAAAGGATTATTGGCACATTTCACTGAATAAACTAATCAGATAGACAAGATGGGCACATGACAAAAAATACAAAATTAGAAATAGACTTCTTCATTCAAAAATCAAATGAAAGCAAATCTGTTCCTCAATTCAAAATCAACGGGTCATAAATACAGGAGCCAATGCTCTTAGAATTTCGGCAACTAACTCGTATTAAAATTTTCATGGCATGATTGGAATTTGTATGTGATTTTCCTTCATTATGAAACAATCTGACAAGATAAAATCTATAAACCCCTTCTGTCTCCCTTTCTACTCAAGCTTACCCATATTCTGAATTTTAAATTTACAAGAATGAAGATCATAGCTGTGTTAGTATGATTTTTCATTTTTGAAATTGAAGGTTTTTGTAGAAACCAGCTTCAATAAAACAATCCTGTCACCAAAGGTGTCAACCAAATTGATAAACACCAAGTTATTACTTTATAGACATGGTTACCACCAACGCCAAAACAAACACAGAATAAATGATACTGATATATGCTAATCATTTCATGGTTGAACTACTTAGGGCGGTCACTAATCACAAAAAGCAGAAACTAGAACTAGAAAAACAGGACAAATACCAAATAATCCACGAGGCAGCCATATAAACTTCTTGACCCCAAGATATGCTTTCAGCTCATCTTCAATTTGTTCTTTGGTTAAATGAGGATTCCTGTTCTTGTTTAAGAGGCACTCCTCAGTTGTAAGGCAAGTTCCTGCAAAACGAAGACGTGTGTAACTGATATGCTGAAATCTCATCTATGCCAGGCATAGGGGCATGAATTGATAAAAATAGAAACATAATAAAAATTAACAGTGCTGAAAAAGAAACTTCTAACTGATTGGGACCAACTCTTAGTTGTTAGGGAAGGAATATCAAAGGCTTATCTAGATCCTTCACTAATGCTGCAAACCCTGAAAATCAACTTTGTTTTTAATCTTCTAGATTATTTTCTTAGCACCTCACTTCACTTTTTCAATTTCACACAACCTTGCATTACCTGATGTATTAACACAACCCATTTAATTCACTTCCACAACAACCTCAATCACTTAATGATTTATCAAGGTGTTGCCCAATTGTTTTCCTAATTATGATGAGAACGTAAGAAAAGTTTCAGCTCTTATAAGTAGAAAGTGCAGTATGAATTATCTTACTAAACATAATTGCAAACTGGGACAATATTAGATTATAAAATGTAGCTCTTAACAAATTTCACAAACTCAATAGATATGATACTTGATTCCATGCTCATTATCCAAAACTCCACAATAAAGGAAACATGAGAACCTGTTGTTTAGGGACTAGTAAGAAATCATTTTATGTTGCAGTTAACCTATTGTGAGCGAACATTTCAGGTGCTACCGAAGTGGTAAAGAAATAAATAATTCAATTCAAGTTCTCACCATAAAAAAGTTGAACTTGTATCCAGAGACACTACATATGATTCTTCAAGGCTACAGATAAACATGCATCAGATCTAGTGTCTTAGTTACCGAAAAATACTGACCCTTAGTTCCCAAAAAACTTTAATAACTAGCCTTACTGGATCCAAATTACTAAACGAAAATGGAAAAAGAAAAAGTAGAGGTATTTATTTCCACATTTATCATGTTTTATATACTACTACATTTTTGAAAAACTATTTTTGCCTTAATCGAAAGATTGAGAATTTCCTACCCTGATTATAGAAAGCAAATGGTGTTAACATATTTGTGTTTCACTTCCCTCTTTGATTTAATATACGTCGTTCAAATGCCTCATGTTCTTACATAAAAATCTGTACTTCTAAGATCATTTTTAGTCTTCTAAACTGGAGAATTATGTACTATTCTGTTAACGATGGGCAATAAGTAAATTGCAGACTATGAAGAGAGCTAGTGTTGACCAATTTTCCAGCACGAAGAGTTGAAGTCTGCGAGAGGAATCAGTATAAGCAGAAACAAAAGTTTATACCTTCTCCATCCACATGAATGCTTCCACCTTCAAGAATCAAAGACTGGGGAAACCTAGGCAGCTTTTCGATTGCCAGAACCTACAATGGGAAAAGTTAGGGATCTAATAGGAAAATATAAGCGACAGCTGCAAGGCATGTTAACCTCACAAAGCTTAAAACATAGCTAACCTTTCTAGCGATAAGAAGATCAAGACTCCAATCCGTATAACAACCTTCAACTATGCCTAGGACAATTGAACATGGAAACATCAAAATATGTGCAGATAAGACAGGAGAAAAATATTGTGTAGACTCATAGTAGCAATTCATACAATATAGCAGTGATAGGTCCAAGGATGCTTTGTGTTAATGCAAAGAACATTCAATTACATTATGTGTCGTGTGTTAAAGAAAAAACACAAAATGAAGCACGTGCAATTAAAAATAAGACCATGTATAAAAATAGATAGTTCAGTCATTTGTAAAAAAATTTTAACAACATATTGCAATAACACCATGCTTACATAATTTTACTTCAGTAAGCACACATATGATGCATATCAAGAAACTGAACGCTAATGAATATGAACAGATCCTTGGCCTCCCATAAGGACCTATTTCTCCTAAATATCAAATCAAATGTAAGACAATGGAATTTGTTTAATTAGTATCCACCAAATGAATGGTAGATCATTCTTTAACATAATAGGGCCAAAATTCACTAGGGAGTTGAAATAGAACAACAACAACAACAACCAAAAATAATAATAATAATAATAATAATAATAATAATAATAATAATAATAATAATAATAATAATAATAATGATAATAATAAATAAATAAATAAATAAATAAATAAACTATGCTTTATTCCTAATGGCTACATAAATCCTTTCTCACCAGTCACCATTTTGTTCAAATTCAATGAGATCAAACCTTTAAAAACCATACCACAGTTTATTAATTTTGATCAACCTTCCTCGTCTAGCGTTCTACAAGAGTAGTATTGCTCTTACAAATGGGTTAGGTAACTGCAAGAACTCTTATTATTGAGAATTAGAAATCATAATTCTATTTCACCGAGAGCAATCAATTAGCAGAAAGAAATAAAGATACACAAGATTTGAAAAGGTTTGTCTTGATATGAGACTACGTCCTCTTCAGCAATTCACTATGATTAAAAACATGTACAAGAGAAAATTGCACACATTTTTCCTAACCTCTCATTCCCACTTTCAAAACAATGATTTTAAAGCCAAATGACGGTTCCCTATTTATAAGATAAAATAGGACAAAATTGAAATTTACAAGACTGGCTACATGGAGCAATAATACTTAAGGTCCACAACTTAACACCTACACCATCTAAGTAGCCATTTCCTTAATTCATCATGAGGTCATACCACCAGGCTCCAGTCAGTGGTGTATAAACTCTTTTCTTATTTTGTTCATGCTAATACCAACACACATTTATCTTAATATTGTTATATCTTGTACATTCATCTCGTGGACGATTTTTTCTTTATTGGCTTCACATTTAATACCATAAAACATAGTTAGCCTAACAACCATTTTATGACACTTGTACTTTAACGAGTCCCATGAAGCATTTATGCATGCACCCTACCAACTCCAATATTATGTGCACTCATCTCCTTCAATTCCCCATTTCTTATTAGTAATCAAACTTAATACATAAACCAATTACGAGGGATAACATAACCTTAACCCTATACAGTTAGTATATAAGCATACATTAGCAAAGGTAATCCATACTAAGGAGGAAAAAAAAAATTCACGCACTGGTTGTATACGTTTAGAATAGCATTAAGTTTGGTTGATCACCTATTAGAAGATGCTGCTTTCCCTCAGAACTGAAACATCAACTATATAACTCATTTATTCTTCAAAAAGTCACTATAAAGCATACCCAATGCACAAAAAATGGCACACTGAAACATACTTACTTCAAAACAAATTGGATATGAAACCCCAGCTTTCAATTGAATTAATTAATTGTATAAGCTGCAGAATAAGTTGACCCCATCAGAAACTAGTTACATTCTTACCACCATAGCTATTGAAGTTCCAGTCAATTCCTGCAACCTTGTGCTCCAGTTTCTCAGGACTTGATATAGTCTTTCTCACAACAAACTGCCATGGCATAAGTTGAGACTTATTTTAATCATGATTTGGTAAGAAACTTCTACTACCAGTAAAAATAAAAATAAGTTTTCTGTTCTGCAAAAAAGGAAATGTACTTGGAAAGGGAAAAAAAAAAAAAAAAGGTTCAAATAAGGAAGTGATGAAGCTTACAGTGGGACCAGTGTCGCGAAACCAAGAATCATTCATACTCATCTCAACAACTCGGATATGGTCTGGTAAGAGACTACGTGCATCGACCCACTGCCCACAAAAACATATATTCAATTCTAAAAGAGAATAAAATTTCAAAAAAATTGCAGCAAATAGTTACTGCCAACCTGTGCAGCACTAGCACAAACAGTCACAGGTTCAAATTTTGAAATTGCAGATGCCACATTGGCATATGCACGTTGAGCATGGAATCCACCATCTCGCCAGTTATCTGGCCGTTCCTACATTACAAATGAAACATTAGAATCAAGGTATTTTGCGCTTGCACTTTGGCTAGCTTATACAACACTTGAATGATGATGGACCTTGGTAATAGACAGGGAAAGAAAGGGCAGACACATATCAAGAAAGAACAAAAAATGAAATGACGAGTTCAAATTACAAAACTAAATATACAGTCAATGACTTCTTCATAAGGGAAGTTAGTGAAAAAGTTCAAATTATTTGGGAGAAATTTTCTCAAAACCATCAGCTACAAGTCCACTCACTTTCTAGTAACGCCGATATAAAGTTTTTAACTGATTAATTGACAACCACTAACTGGTGAGTAGGATCAAAGGCAAATAGCCAAAATAATAATAATAATAATAATTAACTTCTGAACATATGAAATCCATTGTAACGCTAATATGATTGACAAGTAAAGATCATTTGTATTTCTGAATCACTAGAACAGAATTTGACAAGTTTTCACAAGATAGAACTCAACTAACCACGCCATAACAGCTTCTTATCAGAAATCAATAATTGATCAGTATATCATTATAAGAATATCCTGCATTATCACCATAAAAAAAGTAACAATTCTAATTTGTTCTTTATTATTTCCAACTAAACTTGAGCAATTCTCGTCCACTCAAAATTATTAAAGACTTTCATTAGATTAGCAGAAAAGGAAGAACTATGTAGTTCTTCTAATTTCCAGATAAAAGTTCTCTAATTCCAATTCTTGTTACCATCCCCACTTTTTCCTCAAGTTTTCATAATAACATATCATTTCCCTCTGTATAGATTAATCTTCCTCCTTCCAAGCGTCACAATAAGAATTAATAAATTAGTAAATATTACCCAACAACATTAAATAAAGAAATTAATTTGACCTGTCAAAAGTAGTAGGTTAACAATTTTACTAATACAGATACTACGCTAATTAATAATGAACCAAACTGCATTGGTGGACGAAATGAAAAATAACATCGATGTTAAAACTAAAACCCATGTAAACGGTTAAAAAATCCCAAAAATAAAGGGAAATTTCCAGCATACGTATCACTGAAATAGTTTTTAAAACATTAATTACTGAGCAAAAAGAGTGAGAAACTCACAGGCCAACCCATCCAGCATTGAGAATGTGGTTCCCACTCGGCTGGCATGTAATATCCATACTCAACAGGCTTTCCTTTCAATTCCATTCTCCTTCCCTCTCTCTCTCTCTCTCTCTTACAAGGGCGGATTCAGGAATTTTGGGTGCAGTGGCTGAAATTTAAGAGTCAATATAAAGAATTCATATATAACATTAAATTCGAAATAACAAGAATTGTAGCCCGTTGGCGAATGAATTCTTATTTTCTTCGTCAGCTTTGCCTCTGGAATCAAGTTTTTCAACTTCTAATGATGATAAAGAGGGCCTAGCAGATAGCAGTGTGAAAAAATAAAATATAAAATTTGCGAAACTAAAGATAGAGAGGGTTTTGCATTTAAATTAAATCTGTTTTCCTTCTTCAACTTACAGGGAAAAAATTGTAAATTTGTAATGTTAGTTCTACTATAAAATTTACTTCTTTTTCTACTGCTATTTCTTTTGTTATAATGTTTGTACAAGAAAAAAATGGTAGCAGTAATAAAAAGTAAAAACTAAAAACAGTGGAGAAAAAACAAACATTCAAAAGAAAATTGAGGGCTTACTGTCGGAATCGGCGCCGGCAGATGATACTAAGAAGAGAGACAGACTGACAGTAGAGAGTGGAGACGAGAAAACAAAGGTTGAAAGGTAGGTGAAAAATAAACATTTTCATTTCGTGCTTTTTAAATTATTATTATTATTTTTTTTTTTTTTTTTTTTTTTTTCAAATGAAAGATACCTATATTAGTAGTCCGTGTTTGGTGGTCATTAATTTAATTTATTTTTTTTATTTATTTTCAATCACACATTTTCAAAATAAAATATTTTACACATAAATTCAAGATATTTTTTGTTAACTTTTTAATCACACAATCTTCAAAAAAAATTATTCAAAATATAGTTTTTCCAAATTAAAGGATGCCAAACTGAAGCTTACTTATAATAACTTTACATAAGCTCTTTCTAGTAAAATTAAAATAAGAATTTTAGTATGTTTTGATAAAAATAAATGAAATATATAATGAAAACTTGTGGATCTTATAAAATGTATTAAAATTAATTATTATATTTGACTTAAAATTATAATTTTATTTTATTTAAAAACAAAATTATTAATTTTTGTTCTGCATTCAAAAGTATGATAAAATTTTAGGGCATTTCCAAACCCAAAGACAAATCCACCATATATTTACAGTTGAGGCTATCCCTATTTATTTTTTTTTTTTTCTCCCCTAATTACACAACAACTCTTGCAATTCAAACTCCAGAAATAAAAAAATTTTAAAAAAAAAATTGCACATAAAAGTTTATCATTATAACTCTAAAAATCGCTTTTTTTTTTTTTTTTTTTTTTTTTTCAAAACCAACCATTTTATTACTAGATTATAAAAACTTAAATAAATAAGGAAGACGTCTCATAAAGTGATCACAAGAGTTCATGGTTAATTTTAATAATAACCACTAAACCTTAATTTATTTGACAACCCACATTACATAAGCCCGTTTGATCCCCATTTTTTCAAATTAAAATTGATGGAATAATATTTTTCTAAAAAATGAATGATTAAAACGTCACTCCAGTCGTTTTTCGCTGCGTAAAACGGCACTATGGTCGTTATCTACTATGATTCGATTTTTTCAATGAAACAGTCTCTAATAATGGACTACTGACATAACTAACACAGAAAAGTTGATCATGTCACAAAAAAATATTAAAATGACATAGCTTTTATATTATCGAGATGGTGAAATCACAAGTTGTCCTACTCATATATGTCAATTAAATTAATGAGCATATCTATCAACTTTTGTACATGTCATGTGCATATTACAATATAAATAAGTACAACTTATTATTTTTTAGGGACACGTATGGATCATGACTGCTTATAGTTGTGTTTATACATGTAATAGCACGTGTCATTTTAATGCCAGTAACGACACTTGTACCGTTCAAAAGTTTTTACATATATTTTTTTTTCAATTAAATAACCTCTAACAATAGACTTCATAATGTATATAACATAGAAAAGTCGACAATATCATAAAGAACAGTTGAAATGAAATAGCTTTTATATTATCGAAATGGTGAAAGTACAAGTCATCATACTTATATACATCGATTAAGTTAATGAACATATTACTTAACCTTTGTATATTTCATATGCATATTTCAACGTAAACAAGTTTCACTTATTATTTATTAAGAAACGAATGGAACACGGCTGCTTGTATTCGTGTTTACAAATAGAATGATACAATGATCATTTTCTTCTCAATAAAGGCATTTGTGTCGTTCCGTTGAATTCTCCAATATTTTGATTTATTTTCAAGGCAAAGACATCAAGCATTGGACCCTCTAACATAAGTAAAATGAAAATGTTATTTACATGATAAAGAACGATTGAAATGACATATATAATATGATATCGAGTTGGTGAAAGCATAAGTTATTCTACTGATTAATTAAAATATAAATAATAAGCATATCTCTTGACTTTTGTAAATATCATGTTCAACTTATTGGTTTTCGGAGTCGTGAGCTGGACATGACCGTTTTATAATCGTGTTTACAAAAATAACGATCCATGAGTCGATTTCTTCTCAATAATAGCACTTGTGTCATTCTGTTGATTTCTTCTATATTTTGATTTATTTTTAACTCGACGATCTCAAGCATTGGACCCACTAACGTGCGTAAGATAAAAATGTTAATCACGTGACAAAGAACGATTTAAATGATTGGATCATATGATATCGAGTTGATAAAAATATAAGTTATTCTACTGGTTTATTATAATATAATTAATGAACATATCTCTCAACTTTTGTAAATATCATGTCCATCTTACAACTAAATGAGTTTAACTTATTTGTTCTCTAAGTATGGATGGGTTGTGGCTACGTATACTCGTATTTATAGACAAAACGACACAAGTATCATTTAACAGCTATTGTGTCGTTCTTTGATTTCTCAAATATTTTGCTTCTTTTTCAACGCAGCAATTTCAAACATGGATCCCCTAACTTAAGAAAGTTAGAAAAGTTGATCACGTGACAAAGAACATTCGAATTGACATAGATTATACGACATTAAGTTGGTGAAATCACAAGTCATTGTATTGATTCGTTAGAAAATATAATTAATAAGTACATCTTTCAACTCTTGTAAACAGAATATTCATATTGCAATTGAAATGTGTTCAAATGATTGATTTTCAGGGCATGGATGCATCATGGCTACGTATACTCGTGTTTATAGATGAACGACACAAGTGTCGTTTAACAGTTATTGTGCCGTTCTGTTGATTTCTCAAATATTTTGTTTATTTTTCAATGCAACAATTTCATAACTTAAGAAAGTTAGAAAGGTTAATCATGAGACGGAACGGTTAAATTGATATATATTATATGACATTGAGTTGGTGAAATTACAAGTCATTGTATTGATTCGTTAAAAATATATAATCAATGAACACATTTCTCAACTCTTGTAAACAAAATGTTCATATTACAATTGAAATGAGTTCAACTTATTGATTCTCGAGGTATGGATGGGTCGTGGCTACGTATACTTGTATTTATAGACAGAACGACACAAGTGTCATTTAACAGCTCTTGTGTTATTCTGTTAATTTCTCAAATATTTTGTTTCTTTTCCAACATAGAAACCTCAAATATGGATCCCCTAACTTAAGAAAGATAGAAAAGTTGATAACATAATAAAAAACGGTTGAATTGACATAAGTTATACGATAGCGAGTTGGTGAAATCATAAGTCATTGTATTAATTCGTAGAATATATAATTAATGAGCATATTTCTCAATTTTTGTAAATAACAGATCCATGTTGTAGCTGAAATGAGTTTCGGGTTATCTATACTCGTGTTTAAAGATAGAACGACACAAGTGTCTTTTTCTTTACAATAACAGCACAAGTGCCGTTCTCATAGAAAAATTATATTTCGATAACGGCACTTGTGTCGTTCTTGTAGAACATTTCATCTTAATAACGGCAGAAATGCCGTTCTTAATGACCCTTTCATCTTCTAAGCGGCATTTGTTCTATTCTGTTACAACTTTTTATTTCAATAACAGCACAAGTATCATTCTCAATAACATTTCATCATCAAGTATTAGATCCGTAAAGTATGCGAAAAAAATAAATCATATGACAAAGAACGATTGAAATGATGTAAATTATATGATATAAATTTTTTGAAAGTACAAATGATTCTATTATTTTCAACAAAATAAAAGTAATGAGCATATCTCTTAATTTTTTTAAATGTTATGTCTACCTTGCAACTTAATTGAGTTCAATTTATTATTTTTTGAGTTAAGGACGGTCGTGACTACTTAAACTCGTAATTAAAGATAGAATGGCACGAGTGTCATTTTATTATCGGTAACGACACTTGAGTTGTTCTATTGACTTCTCTTTTATTTTTCGTTTGTTTCCAAAGTTACAACCTTTAGAATTGAACATCTTAAGTTGTGTTGTTCTCACAGTAATAATAGAAGTTTCTATTTGTAACGTCACTTGTGCCGTTCTCGTAGAACTTTTAATTCCAGTAACAACGCTAATACCGTTTTTAGAGACTTTTCATCTCAGCAACGACACAAGTGTCATTTTCATAGACAAGTATATTTACAAACATAATGATAGTTGTAAAGTTCCTATAGACGTTCTCATCTTAGTAACGGTACAAGTCTCATTCTCATAGACAAGTAAATTTACAATCATAATGGCAATTGTGCCATCATTGAGAGGCTAGACTAATAATTAATGAGTATATTTATTGACTCATATTTATAGATAGAACACGGAATGGTCGTTTTCATTTCAGTAATGGCTCTTTTGCCATTCTATTAATTTCTCATATATTTTGGTTTTATTCCAGTACAATGATTTCAAACATTGGACCCCCTAATGAAGCATAAACATTTTCATGTCAGTAACATACGTTAGAGAGTTCATTATTAAATATTGTTTTTATTGAAAAAATTGAATATAGGTGAAACAACACAAGTATTGTTCTGGACATGAAAATGACACTTTTGCTGTTACGTGCATAAATACGAATATAAGCATTTACAGACCATTTGTTCCCTAAAAATAAGTGAAACTTATTTATTTTGTAATATGTACATGATACGTACAAAAGTTGATAGATATTTCATTAACTTAATCGACACATATGAGTGTGATGACTTGTATTTTTACCATCTCAATAATATAAAATATGTCATTCAATTATTCTTTTTGACTAGTCAATCTTTTTGTATTATATACGTTAGCGAATCTATTATTAGAGGTAATTTTATTAAAAAATAAAACTACAGTAAATAACGACTGTAATGTCGTTTTACTTTACAAATAAATGTTGGAGTGGTGTTTTGTATTTTGTATAATAGTTGGAGTGCTATTACATCCAATGGTTGCATATAACACATAAATCACATGAAATACGAAAACAGTACCAACTGAATGTTATTTAATAATAAAAATACAACATAAATACAATTTCTAAGAGCATCTTTCTTCACTCAAAAGATATCCAAAATAAGTGAAAAATATAACAAATAACATAATTTTAGGGTAGCAAGAATGGTGATTAAAAAGAATAAAATAAGTGACGTAATTTTGAGGACCTAAAATTGAAGAAGATGAAAAGGAGAAGAAGAAGACTTTATTTTAAAAAAAAAATTATGATTTTAAGGTGAATTTGGAGGAGAAATGATAGGATGAATTGAGAAAAACTAAAGGAGAATTTTGTCATTTTGCCAACTAAAATATTTTGTATTTTTCTATTTATTTTTATTATTGGTCAAAGGTCATTTAATCAAATACATTGTTAAGTTAGGTTATTGGGCCAAATGCCCCCAAAAAAATTTGTTTATAGATAGTACAATCATAGTCATTTGTCGTTGTACTCCTTCTCTGTGGTGCATTGTTTGTAGTGTTTTCAAGAGGCAATAAAATTCCTTCTTGAAAACCACCAAAATCCTTTTGAATTATGCTAAGTACACTCAGCTTGATAGCCCACTCACATGAGTGGGTTTCACGATTAAAATAATCGCGGGCCTACTGATGTTTTAAGCACGGAGCCCACTCGCGATTAAAATAATCGCGGGCCTAGTGATGTTTTAAGCACGGAGCCCACTCGTGTGGTGTGAGTGAGCTGTCAAAGATGATGTAAAAAAGACTGTAAGCAGGGCTGATCTAGGGACAAGTCGGGCTGTGCTAGAGCCCGTCCCTCTAGCCCAAATGCTAATTAAAAAGAAAGATTCAAGTAAAAAAAAATTATGTGCGATTTTTTTTGGCGTGTCAGCCCGTATCGAAAAATTTCCTGGATCCACCATTGAGTGTAAGTGTAGCATATTTGAATCCTTTTATTCCATTTCACACAATAATCTAGAGAGAGAAACCAAATGAGGAAGTGAAAGAACTATTTTCTTGTTCAAGAAATGTGTTGGAGTGTTCCAACTTTGAATCTGCAATATATATATATGTATATATAGAGAGAGGAAACCCAAGTTTTATTTTGGTTCATTTGGATCAATTTTTTTGTTATGCAAATCCTAATTTTGGTTAATTGGATCTTCAGTTTCTTCAACGGGTTTGTAGTGCGAAGTTGGTAATTGTTAAGTGAATGCTTTTACTGGATTCAATTAATTAGCAGTTGGTTGTTTGGAAAGCATATTATTCTTAAAATTCCTAGGTTTTGTTGATTTTACAGTGTCTAGAAAGGGAATGTTCTTATAGCTTGTAACAATTATCTTTGTCGAAGGATTTTTGAATTGGTGATTAAATTCTACGGCCAAGTGAATCATTAGAGTAGTTTTTCAACGTTCTAGTTGTTTCAGTTTTCATTCAAATTTTTATGCAAGATTAAGGAGCTAATCTTAATTATATGGTTGTTGCTTGAAAAACAGAGACTACAAAATAATAAAATCAAGTGAAATGGCAAGAATTTTGAGGTTGTGCTATGGAATTTGACAATCAAGATGAATGGATTGAACAACGATGAGTAAAAATAAGGAGAAATACATAAAGTTCAATTTTGAAATTCTTTGGTCTTCTGTATTTGTGTTATTTTCATGAAGATTTGTAATGTTACAAGTGGAAAACGTTTGATTGATTGAGGGAATGGTTTTGAGGGAAAAATCATAAGTGTAGTGTTAATTTTTTTTGTTATACTAATTTGAAAATAAAGTTTTGAATTTAGAGGTTTTTTTGTTATAGTAATTTGAAAATAAAGTTTTGAATTCAGAGGTACAGATACACGACCACTGCAAAAATCAACTTCAATTAGAATCTTTCAGTGCTGTCGCAATGGAGAGAAGAGGAGATGGAGTGATAGCTAAATGGTTTTTTGGAATGATAACTGGCTAATAGACAAGAACAATGGGATCTGAGCTGGGTTCTACTACCTATAAAACTATCAAAATTAAGCAGATTTATTTGATTACAACCCTTTATATATACATGTTCATGTAGAGAAAGATTTGGATTTTCCGTGTAATTATTAGTTGTGTTCTTCACATTCTCATTCCTTATTTACATTAGCCAATGTCTGGCATAAATTAAAATTCAGATTTTGATCTAAGTCAAAGTCAATATTTTTTTAAACCACATATCACATAGAATTCACAATTTTTAACCACAAATTTCATTAACATTTATCAAAATCTACTAAAAATTTGATTTTAATCGACACCAGGGACTTATTGATTGGTTGGTATGACTAAAAAGCCAGTTTTGATAAAAAGAGATTGTGTATCTTACAAAATAAGTTATTAAAAAAAATAAAAGAAAAAAATAGACGAGTTTCTCCCTATTCCAAAATTAAAAAAAAAAAAAAAATAATTGATGAAGTCGTAAAGTCTCTGTGCATGGAGGCTTCGTGTCTTTGTACAAGGAGGCAACAAGTCTCCGTGCACGGAGACTTTGCATAATGTTGGTAAATTTTTGGTCATGGCTTCTAAAACAAACTTTGAGGATCACAACTTTAAATGTCCAGGGACTATGGATTTGCCGCTCCCTTCATTGCATGTTTTTCGGGAACCTAAGTTGTTTTTGCTTTTCATGATGCTTTGTGTAAAAATTAACTTCACACCATGAACGATGTGTTATTGAATCCATGGGGTTTATTTCATTTAGGATCTTGCACTACTTCTCCAAAATTTTGAAGCCACATTAGAGCATAGGTCAAAAAACAATGAGTGACCTGAAAAGTAGCAGTTGCGGGTTCCCTCGTCATAAAAATAAAAATAAAAATGGGTGACATTTGGTATTGATTTTCTTTCACAGGAGGATATAGTGTCTTTCTTGGTCAACTAGAGTCAACGCAGCTGTTGATACTGCTCGAGGCCTTTCTTTCTTGCACGATGCTAAAAACCAAGTGATACATCGAAATGTTAAGCTTGCTAACATTCTTTTGGATGAGGTCTGCTCCTCGAATATTATATATGAATATATTTGTTTTTTTTGGCTTTCACATAAGGTAGTTGTTTACATAGAAAAAGTAATAGCCTCGTTTCATTATGGGGCAGGCCTTCAATGGCAAGTTGAGTGGCTTTGGTCTCGCTAGAGATGGGCCACCTGATGATAGGACTCATGTGACCACTCGAGTTGTGGGTACACAAGGCTACTTTGCACCGGAATACATTGCTACAGGTTTGGCACGACAAAATACTTTTTCATTCCCTTTGCACTTTAAAATCATAATATCATTAATTTATCCATATTAAACTCCTTGCTAATGAACATGCCATTTGATGGAAAATATTTCTCTTTTTCAAAAACTTCAAATACTTTTTCTAAATTCTACACATTCCACACTAATAATAACATAATGAATACAATACTCGTGCATCGAAGACTAGTTATATTATAAAAACTTGAATAAATAAAGAAGTGATACATTCATATGAATCGAGATCTGGCTTGGCTCAATAGTTACTAGTACAATTATGGTGTCAACGACTGGATACTCAGATAAGAAGCCCCCGTTTGGCTCACATTAATTTTCATTCCATTACATTTCATTTTCTTTCTCTTATTTTTAGTCAGATAATCTTCCGTAAAATAATATTACATGTAAATAAAAAACATTTTCTTCTTTTTCAATAATTCATTTTTCAAAAAAACATTGCTCCACCCATTTTCATTTCTACAAAATGAGGGCCAAATGGAGGCTAGATTCCAAATTCATAAAAATATCTTGAATATGTCTGCAAAACTAAGCCTCTGTTTGGCCACTTTTTAAAAAAAATTAAAATGGGTGGAATATTATTTTTTGAAGAATGAGTGGTTGAAAAAGAAAGATTTTTTTATTTATTTTTAATATTATTTTATGAAAAATTGTATTATTGAAAATATGAGAAAAAAATGAAATTTAATTTAATGGGGGCCAAATGGACTTCTTAAGTACCCTAAGTACAACAGATTGTGCAGAAAAGTTAATTATAATAACTACTAAACTTAAATTTACTTGACAACCCACATTAAATAAGAACAACCACTCAAGTAGTGAAGAAATTTTGACAACTTTAATTCAATTTATAGCCATTTTCATTAATCTGTAAAAAATTGTAAATGATGATATATAAAAAGCATTTTTTATAGTATCATCATGACAATGGAACACCGATAATATGACAACTCGTTATTTCTCACATTTCTCTCTGAGAGCACATCTCCTCTCCTGCCCTCTCATTTTTTATGAAAGATAATGCTACTTGCAAGAGAGCCTAATTTGAATCGATTGTGCTACGAATACAGAATCGTGTCCAAAGTCGTGTCCAAAATGGACACATGGCACCTCGGTATTGGTTGAGACGCCTGTCACGCTGGGGCCCATAGGCTCCTCGGCCAATGTTGAGGTGCCGTGTGTCCATTTTGGACACGACTTTGTACCACAAGCATTATTCAATTTGAATAAGTCATTTTATTTGAAGTGGCCCCTCTCCACGTGATGGGTAGATACCTGATGTACACGTAGCATGACTCAAAAATGAATTATCCAATCCTATTATTTCACATAAATTGTTACATCAGTCCAAATATAGTCATAATGATAAATAAATTTTTTAAGGCCCCGTTTGGCAGGGATCTTTTGCCCCAAAAAATTGATTTTTTGACCATTATTTTACTATTCAAGTCGTAATTTTTGACTTCTTCTCTCACATGTGAACCCCACTTTTCTTCTAACGGTCAAAAAATCAATTCTCAAAATCCCTACCAAACGGGGCCTAAATACTTTATAAATTTAACGAGTAGTCCCCGTTTTCTTCCTATCTCACGGATCCAAACACAAGTAAAACACTTGAATTTCTCTTTCCCTTCCTTCCACAGGGACCAAACAGCTTAAACCAACTCTGCTCAAAGACAAAAATATCAAACAACCTTATTAATGACTCGTACCAAATAATATGCTCAAATTTCATCTTGATTCTGTCGGCTAGCAAATTTTCCCGAACCCATTATTATTCCACAATTTCTCTGAGAAAAACTGCAAGTCTTCTCTAGAGCGGTAGTCTAATCAGAATTGAACTCGAGGTTCGATTATTCATATTTTTTCATCAATTTTAACTTCAGTTTCATACTCATTTTAATCATGCATGGTTGTGCAATTTAAGTTTTTATTGAATTTCTTTTATTGCTTGCCTGATTTTTTTTTTAAAATTTAATTTGGAAACATTAATTACTCACTTTTGCTGATGTGAAAAACTCGCTCATTTTCTATCAATCTTACTTTTGTACTATTTGAAGTTGTAATTTTAATGAATTTTGAAAATTAAGGTAATTTTTCGGTGGATGCTTTTTCATTGTTTCTCAATTACTGTTTTATATGTACAAATTTTCTATATTTGACTGATGCAAATTTTTTTAGTTCCTTTTCTGGGTGAAAAATTATTGAATTAACGTTGTAATTTATCCATTTTTTTTTATGTCTAATTACTTCTGCCTGAACATTTAAGTATTTAGTGATCAACATCAATAATCCTGCGATTTAAATCCTCAGTTGGATTTTATTTTTTCTAACTAATTTATTTATTTAGTTATTATTATTTTTTTGGGTTCAAAACGTTATTCTTATTATTTTTTTCTTTTTATTTGAATTCATAAAAGGTTTGAAGATTCAGAATTTCTGGGAAAAGATTATGTTGCCCAGTATCTCACCAAGGATTTCTATATTTGTCTTTCCATTATTGGTGCACTATGACATTAATTTCCACATCTAAAAAATATGACCTATGCCAACACTTCCACAAATGTGGGATGATCCGTGCAGTTCGTTAAAAGGTGATGTCAGATGTTAAAACGATACCCTGGTATCGAGCTTAGTAAGGCAGCACACCAGGCGAGGAATTTGTCATTTGCGATGCTAGTTTGTACTTGTTATGTCGAGTGTTTGAACTGTTATATTGTGATGGGATGTTGACCATTTGAGAATCATAACAGTAGACAAATGTTATTAAACTCCGACAGCATAAGCCGGTTAGATTTTGAACTGGCGAACCAACTGTCTAACCGATCCGGTTCAATTGATCCAGACGAGGAATTATCCCCAAACAAACATTCTGATCGGTCTAAACCGGATAGACCTAGTGTAACCAGGACAATAAACTCTCGATGATCATCCACAATAGGACACAAATTGTAGAAAAACTTCATGCCAAAACAAGCATTATCTTTGCTTAGCCATCTTTGTTTTCCTTTTTGCTGTAATTTCCATCTCTCACTGCTTGACCATCATTGCACTATTAATAATATTTAGCTTTTTGTAGCTTTGTTTAATAGTGTTTTATAGATGTTGATTAAATTTAAGTATATCGAGAGAATTTGAGCTGGTCTATTGTCTTTCTCACATGACAATATTGTTGGGTTGTTGGATAACTCCCGAATTTAAGGTTAGGTAACTTTCATAGGGCCAGAGACTGGATTTATCAAAGAGGCATACAAAGAATGACTGGAGACAATTGGTGTGCACCAAGTTGTTTTTTATGTATATAAAATTAGGTTCATATCAAATGCATTTTTACCACCCATAATCAGAACTGTCTTCCACACTAGGTGCTAATGAAATCCTAGAGATGAAATGCTAACAGAATTTCTTGCCTCATATAATGATATAACAATATATCTGAGAATGAAATTGCTATTCTTTCATTTTGTTTTTTGTAATTTAGATCTTTTTTCTATGCTGTTCACTTCTCAGCTTCAGCATGACTCAGGAGATTCCTAATATTGAATCCCCAAGGAGACGATCAGGTCTACTAAGAGATCAAGTTCAGCTGGTTAAAAGAAAGGATTCTGATCGTTATGAGATTGTTCCAATTCAAGATACTCTATCATTTGAGAAGGGTTTCTTTGCTGTTGTTCGGGCATGCCAGTTGTTGGCTCAGAAAAATGATGGGATGGTATTAGTCGGGGTTGCAGGTCCCTCGGGGGCTGGAAAGACAGTTTTCTCTGAGAAGATCCTCACCTTTATGCCAAGCATTGCTGTTATAAATATGGATAACTACAACGATGCAACTCGTATAATCGATGGCAACTTTGACGGTAAATCTGGTCTTCTTTTTTTGTACTCCCTAGTTTAGACCTGATGATTTGGAGCATGTTTGTCAAAGCTTAAGATGATGTAAAATTTACTTGTTTCCAAGCATTTTTGGATGTTACCTTTCCTTAGTTTTAAGTAGAAAATGCAATTTTTATTTTATTTAAAAAGGAGTAACTCTTACCCTTGTTTTCTAAAAGTTAATTATTTTCAACTTTAAATTTTAAAACTTACATATCCTTACACAGCCAAACATGCTCCAACTCAATTGATCTGTGGCGGCTTATCTGGTATCATTTCATATGGAACTGTCGGTTTACCATGAAGAATCTGATATTTAAAATTTCATTAGAAGTCATCAGATTCCACATTTAAGCACATGGTATTTCTGCTATGTTATGTGGACAGATGGGGAATCCTTCTAAGGAATACTATTTCACATTTGCTGTGCTAATTGCTTTTGAGCACCTGACTAAGAAGTTATATATCAAGGATTCTATTTGATTAAATCAGCTAAAATAAGCCAAAATAGGGAGCCTTAAATGAAGAGAAAGATTTTTGGTGCCAAATACTACTGTTTCTTTCCTTTATTGGGAGTTAATTTTAAAGAAGGTAGTGTTCATTCTGATAAATATTACCTACCCATTTATTACAAAGATTTTTCCAATCATGATGTGCTACGCTTGGAGCATCGCTATTGAATTTGATTATCATATGTGCAGAAATGACTGGAACTTATCGGTTAATTTGTGAAAGTTTTATTGTTAAAAGTTCCTCAATGAGATGGAATTTATATAGATTTCTGGTCTCTAGAAGATATATCGAATGCACTAGGAAAAATAACTTTGCATTACTCACCAGTTTTCAATTAGTGTTCATATTTTTATGCATGACTCCTCCTACCATTGTTTGTTTCCATTTGAATCTGTCAGAATGTGTGGACTTCAATAATTTTTGAGCAAATGCCTAATAAAGTCTGTGAATTCAAAATTCTGATAGAGTACTCTTTCAAAGGGGGGAAAAAATGCATGAAGTATGTGTGTGCCATATAAAGTTCCCTGACCCTTTAAACATGTTGAATCTACTTATATTTAACAAATGGAAAATTATGCTCTAAATATGTTCCCTTTTTAGTTAAATTTTTACTCAAATTTTCTTTGACACTTCTTTTATCTACTTCTATGGAAAATCTGTGATGAAAGTTTCCTAGTATAAATGTTGTGCTTTATAATTTTTGAAACAGATCCTCGCTTGACAGACTATGACACACTGCTTGAGAATATCCACGGTTTGAAAGAAGGGAGGCCTGTCCAAGTCCCAATTTATGATTTTAAGACTAGCTCTCGAGTTGGTTACAGGTTGAATACTTGTCAACTATGTGGCTGACTCAACGCTTTCCTAATATCTTTTCTAGTTTGAATTTCTTATTTCTTTTCTTAGTAATGTAGTAATCATTGTGCAATTTCTGCGGCTATTGTTATTACTCCCTTGATCCATATTTCTCACTCATTTTGTTAACCTCCTTATGTGTTATGAGATAGATTATAAAATGTATTTACCTGTTCATACCTAGTTTGACATAAAGTTTCAAATGTGTTCAAATAATGATTTTCAGATTTTGTCTTTTCATGTGGGCATAATGTGAATGGTGAGACGAAGTTAGTTTGACGTTCTAAATTCACTGAACTTCATGATTTTGGTGTTAAAGATTTCTTTTTGTGATTGTTTAGCATCCAAAGAGACTTGGTAATAATTAGGCTGTGAAAAATGATTATTTTTAAATAGTTTTAATCATAGTTTTGAAGGATTGTCTACTTTCACAAACTCTAATGTTTTTCTAGAACCAAAAGGCGAAGGTTGATCTTTATCTAGTCAAAAGTTGCATCTTATAATTTTCAAGCAATACATCTAAGAAGGAAACATACTAAATAAGACATAGTTAACTTTGGTATGGTATTACTAATAAATCCTGATACAACTTGGAAATCAAGTGACACAATAACCCATTGAGTAATATACTGTATCATAATAATCTTATGAAATAACTAATAAGTCCTGTTGCAATTTGGCAATTGAGCAACCCATCAGGGGTTCCTGTAGCTAGAACAATAATTTGGATAAATAATTCTTTTGAAATGATTTTTTTATGATCCATCTCATTTCTAGAAATAGCAACCCTTCCTTTCTGCCTTCCATTATTATAGAGATGGTCTCCAACACTTCCATGTCTATTTCTCGTGTATTGCTGCCTGCTATCTTGTATAGTTTTTTGTTTGTCGTGATATCATGTTGTATTTGCTCAATGCTCATGATGAATCATTACTATTAACCTCTCATATTAAGCAGGACTGTAGAAGTTCCCAGCTCCCGCATTGTTATTATTGAAGGGATATATGCCTTGAGTGAGAAATTGCGTCCTTTGATAGATCTTCGCGTCTCTGTTACTGGTGGAGTGCACTTTGACCTTGTCAAACGAGTTATGAGGGACATTCAACGCGCTGGACAAGAGCCCGAGGAGATAATTCATCAGATATCAGAAACGGTGTCAACTTCTTACTTATTAATTGTTACCTTCTTGATATGTGAATAATTGCTGCAATATCTCTTTGCTGGACATGAGATTATTTGCAATTAGTCTCATAGCATACATTGCAACACAGGTGTATCCTATGTACAAGGCTTTCATTGAGCCAGATCTACAAACAGCACATATCAAAAGTGTTAACAAATTCAACCCGTTCTCTGGATTTCAAAATCCCACCCCCCCCCCCCCCCCCCTTTTATTTTTAGTTTTATTGGATTAAGACTATAATTGTAAATTTGTTGTGGTATATTTATTAAAAACATGTTTTAATTGTGACGTAATTATAATGTGGTATAGTAAGTAAAACTTATTGTGGTAATATAATTATCCTTTTTTCTCCCTTTTTCTAATTACACAACTACTGAACAACCGAACAACCTTTGCAATTCAAACGCCATAAAAAAAAAAAAAAGATTACACATAAAAAATTTTCATTATAACTCTAAAAATTATTTTTTTTCTTTCATTCTCTTCAAAACCAACCATTTTATCCCTACTATATAAAAATAAGAATGTGGGGTTACTGTTGAAGTGAACAATATATTGTTCCATTTTATCTCATTGTAGCTTTTTTATTTTATTTATTCCATTTTGTTTATTGCACTGTAGTCATTCCTTCTGTTTCTCGGGTGTTTGAGCAAAAACGACACCGTTTTGTTTAATTGGTACATCGATATTTTCCCATTCTCACCCAAATTTTTTTACTTTTTTCATAGAAATCACACCTTATTTCTTCTTCTCTTCTCTAAAGTTTAATGTGCACTTCTCATTTCTATCTTGTTTTTATTATTTGTGTAAGAATTAATTTGTTTTTCATATTTTTCTGGTGTCTAATCTTAGATTTGATTTTTTTCTAGCGGTAAGTTAGTTTCCTTTTTTCCCTTCTTTTCTAGCGGTAAGTTAGTTTCATTTTTTCCTTTCTTTTCTCCTTCTTTGGTTATATGCTTTATATTCTTTTTCCCTTTTTTTTTTCTCTTTTTTTGAATTGGCTTTTATTAATTTTTTTTAGAAAAATATATACTGTTGGATCTTTTTTTTTTTTTTTTGACTCAGAATTTTGGGAATTTAGGGGTTAAATGTGTTATTTAGTTGTTTGTGATTTTGTATTGTCTTTGATAAAGTTCAATTTTGAAATTCTTTGGTCTTCTGTATTTGTGTTATTTTCATGAAGATTTGTAATGTTACAAGTGGAAAACGTTTGATTGATTGAGGGAATGGTTTTGAGGGAAAAATCATAAGTGTAGTGTTAATTTTTTTTGTTATACTAATTTGAAAATAAAGTTTTGAATTTAGAGGTTTTTTTGTTATAGTAATTTGAAAATAAAGTTTTGAATTCAGAGGTACAGATACACGACCACTGCAAAAATCAACTTCAATTAGAATCTTTCAGTGCTGTCGCAATGGAGAGAAGAGGAGATGGAGTGATAGCTAAATGGTTTTTTGGAATGATAACTGGCTAATAGACAAGAACAATGGGATCTGAGCTGGGTTCTACTACCTATAAAACTATCAAAATTAAGCAGATTTATTTGATTACAACCCTTTATATATACATGTTCATGTAGAGAAAGATTTGGATTTTCCGTGTAATTATTAGTTGTGTTCTTCACATTCTCATTCCTTATTTACATTAGCCAATGTTTGGCATAAATTAAAATTCAGATTTTGATCTAAGTCAAAGTCAATATTTTTTTAAACCACATATCACATAGAATTCACAATTTTTAACCACAAATTTCATTAACATTTATCAAAATCTACTAAAAATTTGATTTTAATCGACACCAGGGACTTAGTGATTGGTTGGTATGACTAAAAAGCCAGTTTTGATAAAAAGAGATTGTGTATCTTACAAAATAAGTTATTAAAAAAAATAAAAGAAAAAAATAGACAAGAGTTTCTCCCTATTCCAAAATTAAAAAAAAAAAAAAAATTATTGATGAAGTCGTAAAGTCTCTGTGCATGGAGGCTTCGTGTCTTTGTACAAGGAGGCAACAAGTCTCCGTGCACGGAGACTTTGCATAATGTTGGTAAATTTTTGGTCATGGCTTCTAAAACAAACTTTGAGGATCACAACTTTAAATGTCCAGGGACTATGGATTTGCCGCCCCCTTCATTGCATGTTTTTCGGGAACCTAAGTTGTTTTTGCTTTTCATGATGCTTTGTGTAAAAATTAACTTCACACCATTAACGATGTGTTATTGAATCCATGGGGTTTATTTCATTTAGGATCTTGCACTACTTCTCCAAAATTTTGAAGCCACATTAGAGCATAGGTCAAAAAACAATGAGTGACCTGAAAAGTAGCGGGTTCCCTCGTCATAAAAATAAAAATAAAAATGGGTGACATTTGGTATTGATTTTCTTTCACAGGAGGATATATTGTCTTTCTTGGTCAACTAGAGTCAACGCAGCTGTTGATACTGCTCGAGGCCTTTCTTTCTTGCACGATGCTAAAAACCAAGTGATACATCGAAATGTTAAGCTTGCTAACATTCTTTTGGATGAGGTCTGCTCCTCGAATATTATATATGAATATATTTGTTTTTTTTGGCTTTCACATAAGGTAGTTGTTTACATAGAAAAAGTAATAGCCTCGTTTCATTATGGGGCAGGCCTTCAATGGCAAGTTGAGTGGCTTTGGTCTCGCTAGAGATGGGCCACCTGATGATAGGACTCATGTGACCACTCGAGTTGTGGGTACACAAGGCTACTTTGCACCGGAATACATTGCTACAGGTTTGGCACGACAAAATACTTCTTCATTCCCTTTGCACTTTAAAATCATAATATCATTAATTTATCCATATTAAACTCCTTGCTAATGAACATGCCATTTGATGGAAAATATTTCTCGTTTTCAAAAACTTCAAATACTTTTTCTAAATTCTACACATTCCACACTAATAATAACATAATAAATACAATACTCGTGCATCGAAGACTAGTTATATTATAAAAACTTGAATAAATAAAGAAGTGATACATTCATATGAATTGAGATCTGGCTTGGCTCAATAGTTACTAGTACAATTATGGTGTCAACGACTGGATACTCAGATAAGAAGCCCCTGTTTGGCTCACATTAATTTTCATTCCATTACATTTCATTTTCTTTCTCTTATTTTTAGTCAGATAATCTTCCTTAAAATAATATTACACGTAAATAAAAACATTTTCTTCTTTTTCAATAATTCATTTTTCAAAAAAACATTGCTCCACCCATTTTCATTTCTACAAAATGAGGGCCAAATGGAGGCTAGATTCCAAATTCATAAAAATATCTTGAATATGTCTGCAAAACTAAGCCTCTGTTTGGCCACTTTTTAAAAAAAATTAAAATGGGTGGAATATTATTTTTTGAAGAATGAGTGGTTGAAAAAGAAAGATTTTTTTATTTATTTTTAATATTATTTTATGAAAAATTGTATTATTGAAAATATGAGAAAAAAATGAAATTTAATTTAATGGGGCCAAATGGACTTCTTAAGTACCCTAAGTACAACAGATTGTGCAGAAAAGTTAATTATAATAACTACTAAACTTAAATTTACTTGACAACCCACATTAAATAAGAACAACCACTCAAGTAGTGAAGAAATTTTGACAACTTTAATTCAATTTATAGCCATTTTCATTAATCTGTAAAAAATTGTAAATGATGATATATAAAAAGCATTTTTTATAGTATCATCATGACAATGGAACACCGATAATATGACAACTCGTTATTTCTCACATTTCTCTCTGAGAGCACATCTCCTCTCCTGCCCTCTCATTTTTTATGAAAGATAATGCTACTTGTAAGGGAGCCTAATTTGAATCGATTGTGCTACGAATACAGAATCGTGTCCAAAATGGACACATGGCACATCGGTATTGGTTGAGACGCCTGTCACGCTGGGGCCAATAGGCTCCTCGGCCAATGTTGAGGTGCCGTGTGTCCATTTTGGACACGACTTTGTACCACAAGTATTATTCAATTTGAATAAATCATTTTATTTGAAGTGGCCCCTCTCCATGTGATGGGTAGATACCTGATGTACACGTAGCATGACTCAAAAATGAATTATCCAATCCTATTATTTCACATAAATTGTTACATCAGTCCAAACATAGTCATAATGATAAATAAATTTTTTAAGGCCCCGTTTGGTAGGGATCTTTTGCCCCAAAAAATTGATTTTTTGACCATTATTTTACTATTCAAGTCGTAATTTTTGACTTCTTCTCTCACATGTGGACCCCACTTTTCTTTTAACGGTCAAAAAATCAATTCTCAAAATCCCTATCAAACGGGGCCTAAATACTTTATAAATTTAACGAGTAGTCCCCGTTTTCTTCCTATCTCACGGATCCAAACACAAGTAAAACACTTGGATTTCTCTTTCCCTTCCTTCCACAGGGACCAAACAGCTTAAACCAACTCTGCTCAAAGACAAAAATATCAAACAACCTTATTAATGACTCGTACCAAATAATACGTTCAAATTTCATCTTGATTCTGTCGGCTAGCAAATTTTCCTGAACCCATTATTATTCCATCAATTTCTCTGAGAAAAACTGCAAGTCTTCTCTAGAGCGGTAGTCTAATCAGAATTGAACTCGAGGTTCGATTATTCATATTTTTTCATCAATTTTAACTTCAGTTTCATACTCATTTTAATCATGCATGGTTGTGCAATTTAAGTTTTTATTGAATTTCTTTTATTGCTTGCCTGATTTTTTTTTTAAAATTTAATTTGGAAACATTAATTACTCACTTTTGCTGATGTGAAAAACTCGCTCATTTTCTATCAATCTTACTTTTGTACTATTTGAAGTTGTAATTTTAATGAATTTTGAAAATTAAGGTAATTTTTCGGTGGATGCTTTTTCATTGTTTCTCAATTACTGTTTTATATGTACAAATTTTCTATATTTGACTGATGCAAATTTTTTTAGTTCCTTTTCTGGGTGAAAAATTATTGAATTAACGTTGTAATTTATCCATTTTTTTTTATGTCTAATTACTTCTGCCTGAATATTTAAGTATTTAGTGATCAACATCAATAATCCTGCGATTTAAATCCTCAGTTGGATTTTATTTTTTCTAACTAATTTATTTATTTAGTTATTATTATTTTTTTGGGTTCAAAACGTTATTCTTATTATTTTTTTCTTTTTATTTGAATTCATAAAAGGTTTGAAGATTCAGAATTTCTGGGAAAAGATTATGTTGCCCAGTATTCGAATGAGGGATTGTCCTAAGTTGGGATCATTGTCATCTATTTCCATTTCGGAGAGCAAACCGGAGGCCATAGATAGCCAAGATGAGGATGAAGTTCGAATGAATTCATTCCAGTTGTTTAATGCTATGAGTGCTGAAACTGTTTCTGTGGGGATGGAAACACAACAACTGTCAGGGATGCAGTTAGCGAAAGTCCTTGAAGGTGATAAGGACATGCTCGCGGAGTTGCCGAGGGAACTACCGAGAAAGGAGAAAATTGAGGAAGCATTGTCAAAGAAGTTCAAAATTGGGTGCACAAAGGTTCAAAGCTTCGACAAGTGTGGGGACACTACGACCAGAGGAGTTGTCCATCCGAGGAACCAAAGCAGAGGTGTTGAGGGTGAAGGTTGGTGTCGAAAGTGGCATGCAAGAGGTTGCAACGGGGAGAGGTGCAAGGGGCACTGTGGAAACCCGATCATCGAGGAGATGGTGCCGCAAGTTGGGAGAACTTTAATGCCCATGGACGTGAAAGACAATGCAAGGTTGCATGAGGATGCACCGAACACGTTTCGCTACGAGGACGTTAGCGAATTGAGTGGGGGAGAATGTCACGGATCGCAAGGTCATGACTTGAAACTTGGCATGACACAGGAATGTCATGGCACAAGGTGGGAAAACGAGATAGACTTATGGCAAACAAGGTCTATGCTTCAGCGATATATGGCGATGAGTGCATCGTCAAATTCAGTGGGGGAGTGACTTATGCCTCACGCGATCGCATTCGATTCGTCCCGGTAGCGATCGCAAGATGGCGCGGGTAACGCGTTTCAAAAGGACGGAATAGCTTGCGATAGGGGACGCAAGCAGATTCGGCAAGGGATGTAGGTCGACACAGGCTGGGGACGCAAGTAGACTGTTTTGGGGCAGAATGCAGGCTGCCTAGATCGTGCAGTTTTCCAGGGCATTAATGAGGTTTTTGTAAGTCCCGATCCAGCCATTTTGAGAGGAAAAATACATGGACTTGCAGCCTGATATTTTGAGGATGCAAGTGGACAACTTGCACAACTTGTCCACTTGTGGGCCACTTGCAAGCTAAGCGCGAGTTGTATGCAAGCTAAGCATGAGTTGGCAAAGATATTATCAACATGCAAGCTAGGCGCGAGTTGTATGCAAGCTAGGCGCGAGTTGGCGACAACTTGCAATGCAAGTTGTAAGATAATCCACTTGAAGACAACTAAGAATGAGTTGGCGACAACCAAGCACGAGGTGGCGACAACCAAGCGCAAGTTGTAAAGTGGAATGGTGAGGAGGTTTAAGTTTGCCTATAAATAGAGAGGTAGTCTCATTTGTAAATGGGATGGAGTAGAGGTTAGAGAGTGTAGAGAATATAAGAGTGAAGAGAGTTTATTCATTAGAGAGATTGTAAAGTTTTTCCTTTCATTTATATAAAGAAAGTTTCCCCAATCCTTACTTGTTTTCCATATATTACTTACTTCAAAATTCTCTTCTCAACGTGGGTATAATTTAGCCTCATTGGTTAAATTATTTGTGGGCGTAGAAAGGCTGACTTAACGTTTTCTCGTGAGGTGCGGGAATTGTAGAGCGTTAAGGCCGCACGGCTCTAGTTTGTTCGGGTGTAACGAAACTAGGCCCGTGACATGCTGCTGCTGATGATGACGATGAAAATTCGAGCTGCTTCGAATCTTTGTTGTGGAATTATTAGTGTGTACGTACCAATATGTTGGTTTTTCTTAATTTGTGTGTTTTAGGCAATTCGCCATTTTCATATTTCATTGAAGGGCTAAAAATCTTTCTTCATCCCCACCACACCACACCTAAAACTCTCTTGTTATGTTTGTGAACCTTTTCAATGAATCTTACTGTACAGTTTTAGGGTCTCAAAATTTCCTCTATGGTTTGATGCATATACATTAAACTCTCACTCCCTCGGGCGCGTATATATGCAAATGTTATATATACGGTACGATAAAGATAAGAGTCATTGGTCGGGCCTTGAGTTTCTCCCCAATAGTCGACAATTTGAGTCCCTCTAGACCACTAAGGCGAGTACCCGACTATAAACTTCAGAATTCCATGAAATTAGTCGAGGTGTGTGTAAACTGGTCTGGACACCCGTGATCATTAAAAAAAGCAATAACTAAATAAATAAATAAATAGAAGTCACTGAAGGTATCTGANTGTTAACAAATTCAACCCGTTCTCTGGATTTCAAAATCCCACATATGTTTTAAAGGTGAGTCTTCAGTATCTAAATAGATAGATTTGGAAAGGTTTACTTGTATCTGATCTGACATTGTTGACTGAGGTGTTTCTCTTTTGTTTAGTCAACGAAGCTGGTGACCGTGGATCAAATCAAGGCTGTTCTTTCAGAAGATTGCAGAGAAACTACAGAGGAAACGTATGATATATATCTTCTACCACCTGGTGAAGATCCAGAAGCATGCCAATCATATTTGAGAATGAGGAACCGGGATGGAAAATACAATCTCATGTTTGAGGTTTGGATGATGGGAACTTCAGATTCTTCCTAGTTTTCTTACTTACCCCAAGCTTTCTACCCTTTTATTAGTTTCAATTATACTTTTGAACTCTCTCTGCGTTTCTTTACACTATTAAATTTGACCATAAACTTTCCTCTTCTCTTGGCTTTATGATTTTGTACTAAAATAGAAATTCAGTTTTCACATTCCTGAATTCTTTCCTTTTTTCTTCTCTCCTGGTAGTGTGTGTGCATGCACTTCCGTGTGTTCGATTTTTCTTTACATTTCTTAGAAATTTTTGCTTGTAACCTTACCATTGTCGTGCGGTAGACGGAACATTTTACTGTATAGCGCATAGGTCGTTGGAGATACGGAGTTGGGTTTTGTTAAGAATGAGGGGATCAAATTGCAATTAAAAACTACAAAGAAATTAATGTTTTAATTTTTTGCATTCAGATGTATTTGATAGAAAAATTTCCAATCTTTCAATGACATCTTAACTGTAAAATGGAAAGGTGAAGGTTTTTTTATTGGCAATTACATTTGTAGACGCACTTTACTGTTTTGAGGCCTGCTTTTATCTCAGTTTGCAGGATATGGCTGAAGCCTGTTTAATAACCTGTAAATCTGTAATTATAATTTGTGTAGAACTGTCAATGAATAATGTGGATCTTGTATTCTAAGCAGCAGTATAAATAACTTTCAGGAATGGGTCACGGATAGCCCCTTCATTATATCACCAAGAATTACTTTTGAAGTCAGTGTGCGCCTTCTCGGGGGTTTGATGGCATTAGGGTATACAATTGCATCCATCCTGAAAAGAAGCAGCCATGTCTTCGTAAATGATAAAGTTTGTGTAAAGATTGATTGGCTGGAGCAACTGAACCGCAAGTATGTCCAGGTATGAAACCTGTATGTTGGTTATTCCGTGCAATGTCTAGCACTTGATTATCTAGTTACAAAACTCCAATATCTTCTCATATTCAATTTTTTTCAGTCTGATGTGATGAAATTCTAATTTAAAAGGTCCCCAGATAAAAAATCCTGTTTTTTTACGGCTAGAGTTGAGACCATTCAGAAAAGTTTGTCTATTTGAGGCATGCTTACTCATCATTAAATATGAACTATCTTCTTTTTTGTAAAACAGTTATATGCCACTGCTTAATTATTGATTTTGAAGCATATCAAGCTATGGCAAACAATGAAAGGAGATATGGATTGAGTAATATTCTTGAAGAAGTTTAATTCACCTAAGAACTATCTTCTGTTTGGAGGCACTAAATAGGGGAACACACCCTCATAGAAATTTTAAGGAACAATTTGTCACTCAGAGGTATAATAGACT